TAACGCTGATTTTTGTTGTTTGACTTCTGAATTAATACTTGGCTTTTCGAAGAGATAGTAAGATTTTCTCTCTTATACTACTGCCAATAATTTGCAGCATTTCATTTTGACTATCTTTGTTTAGATAACGACTTTTCTGCTGCTACCTTTAGGTCTTTCTATGCAAAATTATATAACTGGGTCGAACTTTGCAAACAGCAAACAGATCCATTAATTTTAAGACATTTCCATTGTATTTTTGGTACAGCTCATCAGATGAACCTCGAAAGGCTAAATTCTGGCTGCCAAGAAATTTTGTGATCTCAGTCTTCTTAAATACACTTGACCAATGTTTTTGTTTCATTTTATACATCTCTTGTGTTTGGGAGTCAAATGTTTTATTTTTCAAATTTTCTCAAGCAAGAAATATTTCATATGTGCTCTAATAGTCTCGTGCCTATGCAAGGCTTTAGATGCATTTATCCAATCATTATAGCTTTTTACGAGGCTACTACTGTCATTCGGTGAAAATGTCTTGCAACAGAAGCAAAAATCAGAATTTTACTTAAGAAATATAATAGCCATGTACGGGAAACTAATTCTCCGTTTTCCATTTTTCTGTTGTAATATGTATCTCTAAATTTAAGTCCATTAATACTTTTCAGATACATTAACCTTTTTTTTTTAAAGGCCTCCATTTTAGACAAAGTCATTCTCACTTTGTCGCTAAGAGTTGGCCACTTTGGAGGTTCATCAAATCAATATGAGGAAAGGAGTTTTCATTTATGCCAGTCTCTTCCATCGAAATATCTGGGTAATCTTTAACTTCCGATTCATTTAATTCCATGCTTGGATCATCATTCTCTTCCTTTGGCGTTACGTCAGTCCTTTCAATAACTTCATCCAATATAGCTGATGTTCTTTGGCTGGATGATGTCTGTTCTTTTGTAATTGATTCTGATGCTGATTCAATGTGAACATCATTTACATCCGAAGTAGTCTTCATCTTTTTTATGAAGTGAGACATTGCGTCTGCCTGCTTCTGAAGGTCAGCATCTTTCTCAGCTTTGTGTGTATGCTTCTGCGCACGGGATGGTTCTTCTTTGTTTCCATATTATCAAAATTTTACATTCATTTAAATTTAAAAATTCAATTTTAAATATTAAATATCTAATCCTTCTTTTAAAATAAACCATAACATCAGCTAAATATAGAATAAAGATGAAAAATAAAATAAAAAAATTTTTTTTTAAATTGTAGATAATGAAAAACTAAAAATAATAATAATAAATAAATCAATAAATAACCTTTATCATAACTTTTTCGAGCAGCTGGTGAAAAATTAGCGTCTTTCTAACAAACGATAAGGAAAATTTTGACCTTCTGATGAGTCAAACTTAAATGCTTGTCAAGAGCTCAGTGTACAATGATCCCAAACCCTCTCTCTTCCCAATCACCAGCTAAGTCTTACCCAATCCATCTGTATACCAGCACAACAGCACCGAAAACAAAACAAACATATCAGTTCACAGCTAATGTTAATCACATAATAATGCCCCTGTAAATATCCCTCCCCTGTACATTCAACAGCTTTATGCGAAGTTGTTGTACTCCTGTACACATCTTTCTTTTTGATGTTGCACTGCATTACCTTTTATAACTGAATTATTGTGAAATTCTAATGTTGATTTTTGTTTGTTACTATCCTCAATCTCGTACATGCTTCCAATGTTTTATTGTATTGTTGTTATTCGTTTTAATATATCACCAGTCAACAAAAGCTAGATTTTTAAAAATATCACAGATGTTTGGACATAAAATTCATAGACAAAAAAAAAAAAAAAAAAAAATTCTAAACTTCGTTTTACCAAAATTTTCATCAAGATGGAATCAACAGATGCTGTCGCGGAAGAGCGGCAACAAATGGTCCGATTTCCCAGATGTAAATACAACCTCTTAAGTCTTAGCAACAGATAGAACCACTCTCGATTTCCCCGATGGAGGAATACAACCTCTAAAGTCTTAGCAACAGATAGAACCATCCTCGTGTAAACCTCATTTTGAAGTTCAATTTTCTATGTAAATATTATTCATGCATTTTGAAGAAACAACCATTAAAAATACCCCTAAAACCCCTAAAATTAAATTCAATATCTGAAATGCCTTCTAGTTGAGCAGATTCAGATTTTCTCCAAAGAATGACAGGGAGGTGGGGCAATGCATACAAGGCATGTAATTGGAAAATTTCAGAGGATGAAAATGCAAAATGTTTTTCTAATATACAAAAAATATATGTTTACACCTGGCATGAATTCTACTGTGCGTTGTAAACCCAAGCTTAAATGACCAATGCAGACAATTCTGTTTTTAGCTCCAAGGAACTAATCAAATTTTGAAATTTCAACCATTAACAAGAAAGACATGGTCTTGTCCTCAAGAGCATCTGATGCAGCATTTCCCAGCAGGGTACGAGGCGAAGTCCCAGAAGCCAACTTAATATTAAAAAATTTAATGCAGATTCTCAATGTTTTATGAAAATAACTGAATGTAAAACTCAGTTCTTTACCTTGGGGCCTCTGCCTACGTGTTTAATGGACAAGCTCCTCAAGGGCCTTTTTTATATACCTTTGGCCTTTCTGCACAAACACAAAAAGCTGCTTAATTGGGAGTCTAGTCATTAAATAAATTATATAAACATTGAGAATTTGGACTTAGACCGATGCTACCTGCTTTCCCATGATAGAGGAAAATAAATCCTCTATAATCCATGAATTTTCGTTCATGCAAACCTTGCCCCCCCTCTCCAACTTCAGTGAAGAAAATGAAAAGTTGGCGCCTGTATACATTCTTACATGTGGCAAAATGACAAATTTGTCCCCATAGAAAGGGCTAATCAATTCCCCTCCTTCCCACTCTCAGAAATATTTTCTATGGTAAAAAAGAAGCAGTATTTCAGTGTATACATTTTTAAAACAAAAATATAATAAAATCGATTAAATAAAGATAAATAGAAATTGTATTAAGTGAAATAAAATAAGTACATACTTCATCAAATGGATTTTGCTTTGCCAATAGTAGTAAGGTTATTTTACATTGAAAGTTTTCTTAGCCAACCATTCAATAAATACGCAGAAGGAATGTGTAGATGATACATAACATGTGGCTTTCTAGACAAATGGAAAATGACCATTAGATGGTACTAGGTGCTCAGAAGGGTTATTTTGAGTAGTGCACAATGTCTGCGGGTGTAGTTGGTGTAGGGTATTACCTAGATTAAACTTACTCACAGTTTGAATTCCCATGCCTTTTGGAACTCGAACATCTTTGTGTGGCATTTCATCTAACGACTGATGGTTGGGTGGCAAGGTGTGAGGAAAGGTGAGGGGCCGAAACGCCCATGATCCCTGTCCTGTGTAGCATTCAAGGTACATTTATTTTTCTTCCCTGGTAAGTGCACATTCTTCTGCATTAAAACAAAACAAACAACCCCCCCCCCCCCCCCCCCCCCTCTATGTCTTTGGCTGGTCGGCGCCTGCCTGCGAAGAAGGCTTTGCAGGCCCGCTTTCGCTGGCTCTGCATAACACACTCAGAAAATCTGCACTTTCATTTGATGCACTCCTGACTGATTCTTGATAAGCTACATTTTGTTTTTATGAACACGGATATAAAGTAACTGTTATTGCTGTATTTTCTTTTACATTCTGAAATATATATATATATATATATATATATATTTGGGATGTGCTTTCTAAAGTAGCAGTAGATTATTTTTAAAGTTATATTATCCTACCATCTAAGACAAAAGAAAGTGCATTAATAATGTCATATGGTAAGCTTAATATGGCTGACAAAACAGCAATCAACTGGAATAATTACTTGCAAGAGGTTTTTATTGAAAGCTTTTCTAAACACAGCTCTAAGTGAAATCAGAGGGCTTAACAGAATAAGTAGAAATTGACAAGTCTTTTTATGAAGAGTAAAATCCAAGCAGGTCAAATACTGATTGTTAATTAAATAAAGAGATGTCATTTTGTTCAGAATTCCACAGGAATAATTGGTGCAATTTTGGCAGGATTTCCCCCAACCTTTTTGGTTCAATGGTATCAAAACTTCAAGGGCAACATGATAACACATACTGCAATTAATGATATATAAGATTAAGCTTAAAAGTAATTTTTTTTTCATAATTTAAAATTCACAGGCATGTACCACATGCCCTAAGAGGATGCCCCTGATGCATTTTCAAAAGCACTCTTCTTTTATGTTGATCATTTTTATTTGCCTCTACAACAGAATTTGTTACCATGCTGAATTTAGCACAAAGTGAATGCAAAATATGCAAAACTTCTGCTGAATGGTACATTTATAAATATATCGAAAATTTTGTTTTAATGCTGATGATGACATACAAGATGGTACTAGTGTATAAAAAATGAGATACATTCATCGTCAGCTATTTTATTTTTGACTTAGCATTATTTGAGCAAACATGCATAGCTAAAGTGATGCAACTGCTACATTCACTATCTAAAACTTGTAATGAAAAGGCAGTGAACAACATGTTAACAGAACAAAGAGCGAGAATTCCAAAAAGGGAATTAGATTATGAATGATGATGTATACTCTTTTTTTTTTTTTTTTTTTTTTTTTTCTTTTTGAGCACAGGGACATAGTATTGCTATGATTATTATTCAGTAAAAAAGTTTAACTCTTGTTGTTAACCCTTTGTGGCACACTATACTTTAAAGTCGAAATTTTAACACAAATAGTTATATGCAGTCTATTTAGGCCTAAAGGAGTATACATGTAAAATTTTGTAAAAATTGCACTTACTGTTTTAATTTTGTGGGCATTCCATGAAGTGGAACACTGTGCCGCCAGAGCTCTTATCATATATCTCAAAACTGCACATCCAAATCAGTATGTAAATCTCCAATTATGAGTCATATAAAGACACAATTAGAACTGATATGTAAGTCAATGAAAATTCGTTAATAACATGAAAAGAATGCAATACTTACTCTTTTTCTTACAGATTTTATAGCACAATAACCAGTATATCTATTTTTTCATCTTTAGGAGGTGATGTATCAATAGTTCCATAAAACACACCCTTGCGATTGTCATTTACTATTAAATTACATTCACTATACCCTTCGTTGAAACTTTTATCAGAAGACACTCTCCAGTTCTTCAAGCATTCCTGAAAGAAAATGTATCTACATTTATTTTTTGCAGATAACAATTACTATGTATTTATTAAATGAAGTAATTATTTTATACAGTCAAAAGTCGTTAATTCGGACACCCATAATTCGGAATGATCTATAATCCGGACCTCAAAATTAAAAACTTTCTGCACATGCGCGTTGACACATGCGCATAGGCGTTTATGCGTGCACGTAAGACCTTTTACGACTGCGCATATAAGTGTGCGCAAGGTGCAGAATACGTTTTCGCGTGCGCGTTTTATGTATAATGGACGTATAAGCTAAAATTATCTATTTCAGTTAATGTTGATGATTGCGTTGTTCCTTAATTTTTGAATTGGATCCGGCTTATTATTTTTTGCAGACTCTAAGAGCAATTTTATAAAAGTAAGCTTAAACTTTCGATTATATCAAATAGAATTCCCGATATATATTTGTTAATATGTAAAGGATCTAAAGCGAAAGTAGTATGTTTTGAAATCCGAAATCTGTTTATCAATTTCACGCTGCTCGGCGGGGGGATCGCCGCGGCTGGCGCGTAATGAATTGGAAGTTGATCTGTCAGCACACTATCCTTATCTTCAGCGCAGATGTTTTTTATTTTATTTGGCTTATAATTCCTTACCAAATGTAGTATTTCATCTTGATATGCTCCGTCTTTGATATGATTTAAAAAAGTTCCTCGTCATTATAATTCGCTTTCGATAGCGAAGAAAGTAACAGAGGTTATTGAAAACGAAAAAATTTCGATCGACAAATTAGTCGGTGTTCTCGACACAGCAATTATAGGACTTGAACAGTGGAACTTTGTAACTGAACAAGAAATTATTTCTGTTTAATAGAATTAAAGAGAAAATATTATCACATGAAACGAAGCAAAACTTAAACAAGTTACATTGAAAGAAATGTTTATGTTGATATTAAACTTTTAAAAAAGATTGAAAGAAATGTTTATGTTGATATTAAACAAATAAATATTAAACTTTTTCTTTTTGCAAATTTTGATACCCTTTAGATCATAATTGTTCTTTATTTCATAAATTACGGTTTCATATTTTTAATTTTAGAATTTCTGCATGCCATCTTACGAGATTTAAACTGATGATCTATAATCTGGAAAAATCGATAATCCGGAATCGCCGAAGTCCCGACGAGTCCGGATTAACGACTTTTGACTGTATTTGTTTTAAGAACCTAAGATTACATACTGTTAAATGATTGTCAAGTAAAGTTACTTATTTTTTCCATAATGTACTAATTTACTTGTTTTCTTCACATTAAATAATTTAAAAGTACTGAAGTACAAATTAATTGATTAATTGATTTTAAAGAACATTATTTTAAGGAACAGCATGTTTTCAGTGTCCAATCTGAGAATGAAGCAACATAAGAATAAGAAATTTACAGGACATGTTCACTAAAAAGTTCTTTATTGAATAGGACAAAGAATGTTTCTAAAGTTCAACACAAACATGAATTACAACAAAAAATTGCACTCTTGGCCGAGAAATCCAGTCTTGAAGAAACAGTATACAGTGTTTTGAGGAAAAATGGGGTGGTAACATTACAAAAATTATTGTCCATGCTGTCAATTATGTTGTTGGTCAGTGAAATAGGAAGCAACCTGTCTCCCAAGGTAGTCCCAAAGATGCTCTATCAGATTCAGGTCTGGGGGATTGAGCTGGCCATTCCATCCGCTCCATACCATGACCCTCAAGTGAATCTCAAATGTACCACGATTTTTCCTACATGCCTTCAAAACATTTGGAAAAAGGAATAAAGAAAATATTGTTTCAAATTGATTGCACGAAAATCATAAAACTTTATGTAAAATGACCATTCGAAAAAAACCAAATTGCTCTAAAAACATTATGTGCAAATCCAAAATTTAAAAATCAAATATAAATATAGAGTGCAATACAAATACATTTAAAACAAAACAGTCATTTAAATAATACTCTAAACACTGGCAGTTCCCAATTATGCTTAACTTTTAATTCCAAGAAAACGAAAAACTTTTCGCAAAGATTGCTTTAAATAATAAAATCTAATCTGAGCCTACTTCGGTAAAAAACTGAAAAACCTATTAGAAAGAAAATTGAAAAAATCGATAATCCGGAATCGCCGAAGTCCCGACGAGTCCGGATTAACGACTTTTGACTGTAAATTATAAACATCACCAACAAATTCATACCGCAAACATTACAAATGGTTACAAATACTTAGTGTCAAATATTTAAATTATTTCCATACACGTTTACTTTAACTGACGTATACCAAATTCCTACAAACATAATATTCACCAAATAACTATCATTTAATTAAAATATCACTAAACCATGTACATGTTGACTTATTTTTTACTTAAAAAAACATCCCAGAATTGCACAAAAATGGCATTGCGCACACTCTTCACTATATCCATGTACACTGCTTTTTTCTCATAAATTAAAAAACTTTCCCGAAAATGCATGAAAATTTTGTGAATCTTTAAATCCGGTAAAAAGAACATATATGAAATTAAATGATCACAAAAAGTATATTCCCTTTCCAAAGATAAACATTTCCATGTATAAAATAAATAAAATATCCAAAACTTTTACTTTTACCTCGAAATTATCTATTATATTATAAATGTCACCAACGAATCATACGAATTCACGCAAAAAACATTACAAATGGTTACAAATACTTAGTGTCAAATATTTAATTTACTACTTCCATGCACGTTTACTTTTTAAGTGAAACAATATACCAAACAAATTCCGACAAACATAAAATTCACAAATAACTATCATTTAATTAAAAATATCACTAAACCATGTACACGTCGACTTATTTTTACTTAAAAAAAATCCCAGAATTGCACAAAAATGGCATTGCGCACACTCTTCACTATATCCATGTACACTGCTTTTTTTGGTGCTACTTTGGTAGACAGTTGCACGGATTTTTGGCGATTTACGTTGGCCGAATTGTTGGCGCGATTTTTACAAACGTCAGCCATCTTGAAAAACGCTGTTTTTACACATAGTAAAGTATTTGAAACTTAAAAAATAAATAAATAAATATCATTAAAAGTAATGGATTAATTTTTTGTTGAAAATGTCGTTTTTTAAGATGGCAGGCAAGTGTAAATAAATACATTTACTATGAGTATAAAATACTAAAGTAAGGTTATTATTACTTTCATATAGCAAAGAAAGAGAATAAAACAACCGCTATAAAAACATTGGGCCAACGTTTAATTAGATTAAAATATTACTGAAATTGAATATCAAATTAAAAACCATCATAATACCAAATTTAAAAGAATTAGAATATTATTAAATTCAAATACTTTAAAATACGTTATATAGAATATAATTAACATTAAAACATATGGACAATAATTATCTCAGCAATTTCTGAAAATAGTGTAATTAATTTTTTTAACAAAAAATTGAAGTATACAATTATAAAATAAAAAAAAAAAAAATATGTACTTACATTTTTTGAGTGTTAAACCTGTTGTTTACTGATCAGTACCACAATAAAAAATCAGAATCATAATTTAGATAACATCTTTGAAGGAATTCGAAGATATAAATTAAATTTTAAATCGGCGCGGGAAATGCACAACTTGTCAGTAACCAATCAGGGAGCTGATTACAAGCTCGTTAATGCACAAATATTCTCTAACCAATCAGAGAGCTTATTACATATCACGGCTAGAATTAAAATTATTTAAAAAAAATTCATACATAATAAAATCATTTTCCAAAAAAACTGCAAAATTAAATTGTATTTTAATATTTAAGAGCCATAAATAATGTTTAAAACTTTAGATTAAATTTATACATATTAAAATGAATACTTTTAAAGTAAGGTGACGTCATTGATTACATCATCCACAACATAAAATTTCATAAAATATGATAAACAATACAATTTTTATTTCAAATAAAAATGCAAAATTAAATTGATTTTTAATATTTAAAAGCCATAAATAATATTTTAAACACGGAATTTATGCACAATAAAATGCATTATTTTAAAAATAAAATGACAACAAAGTATCGGTTACTATAAATAACTTATCCAGCAATGGGTTTACCATAAGTTGTATTACTCGCCAAAGGAAAACCGCCAAAATCCGTGCAACCGTCTACCAAAGTAGCACCCTTTTTTCTCATAAATTAGAAAACTTTCACGAAAATGTATGAAAATACTCAACGTATTCTACTCAAACGTATTCCAAAATACTACAAACATATAACTCACAAAATCACGATCATTAAATTAAAATTTAATTAAAAAAAAACACTACTTCAAATATAAATAAGCACATACATTAGATTACAATCCTAATTACTTTAAACTAAATCATTGCTAATAACAATTTTCCAATAATATCATACTAATTTATTTACTCCTTACATTTAGAACAATGCATAAAAATAATATCCTCAAATGATTAAAAATACTAACTTACCTAATCTTCAGAATCTTCATTACGTGGCAGGCACACTTCCACTATTTCACACAACACACACAATGAAGCTTGGTTGATCTTTACAATATGGTAACTGGTAGTTTGGCAACATTTTGGAGGCGCTAAAGGTTACTACCTGGGACTTTGGTAATAATGTGAGCAGTACTCAGTTCCGATTACGCATTATTTTGCGTGAGGGAAATGAGAGATCATGGGATATGTCATGTGATATTAATGGACGAATTACGGTTCTTTAATCGGAAAAAGGGGAAATCGGGAAAAAATCTGGAAATTTTGTATTCAGCTTTATTCTGTGTTGTGTGAAAGAGTGTTTGTTAATTTTTGGATCCCATGGCCCTAACTAAAGTGAATTCGAAATGGGTATTTAGGCATTGTGATAAAGAGAAGTTTGCTTTTTATTTAGCGGAGGAAGTATGGAGGAAAAATTCGCAGAAAAAATCTTTCAATAATTTTATTGAATGAATTAGAAAAGTGTATCCACCACGCAATCAAGATTCTGAAGAAGATTAGGTAAGTTAGTATTTTTAATTATTTGAGGGTATTATTTTATGCATTGTTCTAAATGTAAGGTGGAAAGGAATTTGGTATTATTGGGAAAATTGTTATTAGCAATGATTTAGTTTAAAGTAATTAGGATTGTAAGGTAATTTTTATTAATTTAATGTATGTGCTCATTTATATTTTAAGTATTGTTTTTGAATTTAATTATATTTTAATGAAATGATAGTTATTTTGTGAATTTTATGTTTGTAGGAATTTGGTATACGTTTTAGTTGAAATAAACGTGCATGGAAATAATTTAAATATCTGACACTAAGTATTTGTAATGGTTGCGGTATGAATTCGTTGGTGACGTTTATAATATAAAAGATGATTTAGAGGTAAAAGTTTTTGGATATTTTATTTATTTTATATGTGGAAATGTTCATATTTGGAAAGGGTAAATACTTTTTCGCGATCAGGTAATTTCATATATGTTCTTTTTACCGGGTTTAAAGATTCAGAAAATTGTCATGTTTTTTCGTGAAATTTGTCTAATTTATGAGAAAAAAAGCAGTGTACATGGATATAGTGAAGAGTGTGCGCAATGCCATTTTTGTGCAATTCTGGGATGTTTTTTTAAGTAAAAATAAGTCGACGTGTACATGGTTTAGTGATATTTTAATTAAATGATAGTTATTTTGTGAATTTTATGTTTGTAGGAATTTGGTATACGTTTTAGTTGAAATAAACGTGCATGGAAATAATTTAAATATCTGACACTAAGTATTTGTAATGGTTGCGGTATGAATTCGTTGGTGACGTTTATAATATAAAAGATGATTTAGAGGTAAAAGTTTTTGGATATTTTATTTATTTTATATGTGGAAATGTTCATATTTGGAAAGGGTAAATGCTTTTTTTTTTTTCGCGATCAGGTAATTTCATATATGTTCTTTTTACCTTTTACCGGGTTTAAAGATTCAGAAAATTGTCATGTATTTTCGTGAAATTTTTCTAATTTATGAGAAAAAAGCAGTGTACATGGATATAGTGAAGAGTGTGCGCAATGCCATTTTTGTGCAATTCTGGAATGTATTTTTAAGTAAAAATAAGTCGGCATGTACATGGTTTATGTGTATGTGTTATTTTGAAAAACGCATAAGGAGTATGGTATTGTGCACTTTTTCCCAATTTTGCAGTGAATATTTGTCATGATTAAGCAGTTTTGTTTGATAAAATTTCTAGCATAAGTGTAATTCGGCTAGTAGAGTGTTGGAAGAAGTGTTCAGTAGATAAAAAGAAAAGAAACATGTCTTTACTTCATGAAGACAAAATGGCGGCGGGGAAAAAAAATAGAGGGTTGCTGTAGGAGAGTTGGTTGCCAAATTTTCGCCAAAAAATCGCCAAGTTACCATAATGTAAAGATCAACCTGAAGCTTAATACAAAATAATATAGTACTACAGTTTTCCAAATTCCCCCTCTTTTCGGATTAAAGAACTGTAATTCGTCCATTAATGTCACATGACATATCTCATGATCTCTCATTTCCCTCACACAAAATAATGCGTAATCGGAACTGAGTACTTCTCGCATTATTACCAAAGTCCTAGGTAGTAACCCGTAACCTTTATCGCCAAACTACCAGTTACCATATTCCAAAGATCAGCCGAATATTTGATATTTATAAAATAAGATACAGAAAATGGAAGCACTTCCACAGAGAACCCGGTAAATGTAAACATCGCCAACATTGGCGATAATAGTTCAAACTTGGTAACCCATCGGATTTATCCTATTCGCTTGTTCGAAGTTTGCAACCATTCTCTTGCGTTTATTTTGTTGAATTAACACTGTCGTTGTTCGCATTTGCAGATTTATATTATTCTTCTCTTATTTATTATTATTTTTTCTGAATTTTTAACAACGAATAGATAGAAATATTTTCGTAGATAGATGCCGGTTTTTGGTTCGGGATGAAAGGAGAGGTGAATGCTAATTTGTAACACGGCTGTTCACGTTGTATTCTTAATTATTAACAGCTCTAAGAACCATGAGGTTTCCAAAGTCTAAAATAATTTGATTTCGTAGACCGAAAAAATGTGCATGTGCATTTTAAATAATTAAGTAATGCTTTTATTTTTATTATTGGTTATTGTCATCTAAAATTATGAGAATAAATCCATTTTTTATGGAGTAAAATTTTAACAACATAACATATTGTTAATGCTTTTCTAACAATAACCTTTCAGAGGATGGCAGGTGTGACATAAATAGATGATTAAATTGAAATAAAAAATATTGATTATCTAAGATGTCAGAATAGTTCGATGCATCACCATGGTCATCAAAATTAGCAAACCACTGCTGGTGTAAGGAATATATTGTTTTCTGTGTTAACTGGAATTTATGACAAATTTTTTTCGTATATCACGCTTAACCGGTTAATTTCAGTATATTAATACTAATTTATATTTTTAAATAAATTTTTATTTCCGTTATAAATCCTTATATATTGTCTTATGCTTAATATATTCTTTTCTGTGCTAACTTGAATTTAATACACATTTATTTTCGTATATCACGTTTAACCGGTTAGTTTTACATCTACATGCTTATTATCTGTGAATTTTTACTACCATATGCTTAATATATTGTTTTGTCTGCTAATTTGAATTTACATGCACTAAAAATCACGTTTACAAAATATCATGTTTACGGATCGGCTCATCGTCAATGAACGGCGAGCTTGGCGAGTAAAAATGCAACGGCGCCAACGGGTTCTTTCCCGACGCGCCAATGGGTTCTCTGCGGATGAAAACCCCAGAAAATATATATAAGAATTGAAAGGGTAAAGAAATAAGATTTTTGTACATATTTACATTACATTTTTGAACGCTGTCATCCAACTATTACCTCCAATTAAGGTTTAAGTAATAATTATCATATCACATAGTGACATGAGAAATTTAAAAAAGGTAGTTAAAAATTGAATAGAGGTGTTTGGAGTTTCAGTAAAAGGAGATTAATTTTTATATTATTATCTTGTATATTTTTTACCTTTTGCATTTTTAGTTTTCGAGTTTGTACTACTATGATCCCTTTTTAAATTGGTTAGATACCATGTTAAACCTCTTATACAAGGATGCAATTATTAATATTGTTGAGGAATTGCCCTGCTTTGACTCCAGTTTTCTTTAGATGCTTTAAGGTTATATACACACACATATATAATTACATTTCAGAATTAGGGAAATTTGAAATTAATACTTAACCTCAGAATCGAACCTGAAGAACACGTCTGTATCACCATGCTCGTATAATTTCGGATCTTGTTCAAATTTTTCTTTAACTTCTTTCAAAAATAATTTGCATTCTTCAATGAATATCTTCCGGCCATCTCTGAAATGCTCCATCAAAGTTGCGTCGGGATACACTTCATACCCTGCACCTCTATTATCTTTTTCATAAAATGAATTTCGAACTTGCGTACGAGAAAAAGATCGTTTCTGTAGAAGTAATAAATTTCTTCTACAGTGTTGGTTTCTAAAATGATGTGCTATGATTGCATACAACGGGAAACATAAGTTATTCCTCAAACGACTAATATTACAAATGCTCATAATGGATGTGTACGTTTTAAAAATTGTATTGAAAGAAAAACATATAAAACTTGAAAAAAATTAACACCGCATTTAATAAATTACATTGTAAAAGTCCGTTTACGCATTGCAATTTGAAAATACATTCCTAAATGTAGCAGACAACATAACTCTACCCTTCTGTTGAGTTGTAGAGTGCTAACTACCAAATACAGAATATTATTTTCAAACTTAGTAAACACAAATACATTTTTTTAGATAAATTTTCTAAAATATCAAAAAGTATTCAAAGAATGTAAAAAATATATACATATTGCAAAAAGAAAGTCTTCGTATTTTTGTGGGCTAAGGGTTCAAGTTCGGAAACACTTTACACACATGCTCTAAAAAGCTGGACGCCTGTTGAAATAAAAAATTAATTAAAAAATAATAAATGTAAAATTATTAAAAGTAAAATTAGATGAGAAGGTAAACAAACTTAAATGTGCTATACTAACAGCAGTAATTCTGAATTCTTGTGAAACTATTATTTCTGAGCTACAAACGGACCCCGAATTTAAAAACATGTACTCTCGACCAAAGCACTGAAACATCTCCCCATCAACGTAAGGCTCCTATATACCAGGCTCAAGGTTCTTTAATATTACCAGGCTGAATCATCAGGCATTCGCGCTCCCAAGTGGGAGATTTAATGACGGCTGAGTGGTTACGGTGCAACAATTTTTTGTGTTTTTTTTGTGTAAAATGGGCGGATGTACAGCTATTAATTGTTCAAATCATTCACGGAAAGGTCATACATTGGTAAAATTTCCTAAAAATGAAGAAAGAAGAAAAATATGGGTAAATAATTGCCGAAGAGACAATTGGAAACCTGGTCCAGGCGCTGAACTTTGCTTAGTAAGTATAATGTTAATTACGCCTTCATTTAGAGTTTATATCTTCTCTGATGTTTATAATGTGCAAGTAAAGTGAAATTCTTGTGTACAATAACCTGAGTATCTGCTAATTTCTGTAATAATAGCTATAATTAAATTAGTCTAGGGTTAATGTACCCGTCGCCAAACATCGCCAATGTAGATGTTTTGAATATGGAAAAGAAATTTCTCTTCTAATATAAAGCGCGGATTTTGTTTTCCTGTGCTAATTGTGGATTGTGGAATTTATACTAATGTAACATGAAAATCATTAGCATATTGAAATTTATTAAAAAATAAATAATAATTTGGAAAGTCAAGATAAAAATCTGAATGTTTGCTAAAGATATATGTAACATTATACTATAGTTGCAATATCGTTGGAATGATATATAATTTTTTCTTTATTTTATAATCACTATTGTTAAAAAAAGTTAGATGAGTTTGTTTATGCACGGTGCCCACTACTGTTTCTTGGTTAAAATAACTTCCAGAATTTTGACATTGACATCTGAAGTCAATAGAATAAATTGAATAGTGTGAGACAAAATATATATAATCTGACTTCAATAATTGCAAGGATTGTGCAAGCTTATTTATAATCACAGTATTATACAATTTGGCAATGGAGTAGTAAAGATTTAGAAATGAATGCAGAACATTCAAATTAGTATTTTCTTGTTTCTAATATATAGAAAATATAGTCTATTTTCCAGTATAAAAGTTTTACTTAAAAGTATGGGAAAGCAGATTTGTTTCATGCATGATCTTTATAATACTGGTATGAAATGAATGAATTTTAATCTGTAAACAATTTTTTGTTAATATTGAAATGCGTTTCTTTGGGTACATTTTTAGGCACTTGTGGATCATGTCAGACAACATGCAATAGAAAAAAGATGTCCGTGTGCATAAATTTTCCCATTGTGTTACTTCATTTTATCTAAATTTCAAGGATAATTCTTTTCATTTTATATGGCATGTTTCATCAGTATAAAGGCTAGTGAAAATAAATTGGTATGTGTATCTGTTTTTGAAGTGTAATGCTTAAATAAAAAGATGGTGTGTGTTCCTTCATTTTAAACAAAATTTCAAGGATAGTATTTTTCAGTGTTGTACAGTTTGTTATTTCTCAATGTAAAGGGTAACAAGGGGAAAAAAAATCTGGTATGGTATATCTGTTTTTAAGCATGATAATTTTATTTATTTCTTTAGTGATGCATATATATTAGAGAGAAGGTGTTTGGTCCAACTGAAGTTATAATAAAATCTAATTTTACTAGATCTCTCCCTCCCCTCAGGTGTAGAAAATTTTCAAGTGCAGAAAGTTTATTTGCAGAATTAATTCATTTCTGATAAACTTATTATCATTAATTTTTTATATAACATGTTATTAAGTTACACATTTGACTACTGTGTAATAAAATTGCATTTAGGGCAAAAAATTAACTATAATTTTGCATCTGGTGACTAATATCATATGCTTCTAAGAATATTACTTTAACTTTTTCCATAATTTTTGTATTTCAGGAACATGAAACTGTTATTTTGATATACTTAAATAATAAAAGTGTGTATCTGAATCAATTAATGGATACAAATATTTTACAGTTATTTTTAGAAGATATTTGCCATATCGCTTCTAATAATTCATAAAGTATGTTAAAATATAGGTAAATAATTTGGTGCAGAATTCAAATTTAGGGTTTAAAATATAGTCAATAATAAGACTAAATGATTTTTATTGTCATGATTTGCCTGGGCTTAAGAATGTACTTTTCGCCCGGTGGAAATTGTCATCAAACTGTCCTGAACAGGCTTTTTGTTGATAATAACTTCCAGGCTTATCAGTACCTCCTTTTGAGTGGAGGGTATGCAAATATAGTACCCAATTTAAATTACATTGTGATTGTAATAATATTGTGGTATGAAATAAGTGATTATAATTAAAATTTAGGTAATTGCATTGTAATTATATTACATTGTATCTGTGAACTCTTAATTTCATTACTTTATGCAATTATGTTGTAAGTGCATAATCTAATTGCAATAATATAATCTATTCGCAATTACAAAATAATTATAAATGCAGTTACATCTTAAATAGAGGCCATTTTAATACTTTTAAATTTTCGCAAGATAACTTCCCATTAAGGTTCATTTGGAGGAAACTATGCAAATATTAAAAAAGAAGTTATGCTAAATTTACATATTTTGTACAGTACTTTCTTGTTATAATGCTGTTCAATATATCTTCAATACTTTTGTAAATTTAACGACATTCTTTGCAATCACTGTGGTGCTTTAAAAAGAAGTTTTTTAGTTATGCTTTCTAATAAGAATGGGTTTAAAATAAAGTATTATGTATAATAACTAGCAGTTAAAAAACTTGACTGCATGAAAATGCTGTTGCTGTGTAAAATAAAAAATAAGCTTTCTTTTATGCTTTGAAATGAATTACATGTGGTTAAGTCATCCTTTTACAATTTAAGAATGTGGTTAACACACATTCTTAAATTGGACAGGTTTTACCTAAATTATTAGTATAAAATATATAAAATAAACTATGAATTATTTTGTAACATAACTCAAATTACAAAATTCATTCTATATACGTTCAAAGTTATTATCTTTTATGGAATAACTGTTTTTTTTAATTTAGGTAAAAAACTGGATTTTTAGAAGTATTACAATTACAAATACAATGCAACACAAAGGTGATCTGATTGAAGAGGAAGGACTTTTTATTACGGTTTCTAGTTCGTATTTATATTACATTTGATGAAAAGCATCCAAAACACAGAATGCTGTACTTTCTTCCATATATGTTATGAAATATTTCACACATTTAAAAGAAAGTGTTTCTTCAGAATCTTGCACAATTATTTCCATGTACCTCAGACTTAAATGACAACATATTCTTAAGTTATTTTTTTAGTATGAATTTACAGTGTTTTTATGGAAATTTTTGTTAAAATGTCATTAAGATAAATTTATTTGCACACTCTACGCTTTAACTATTTCCCCATTTGACACTATTGAAAGTTTTTATTCATATCTTATTTATTATAGTCTGCTAACGAAACTGAAACATCTAAAGAATAAGTTATTTTGAATATGTTTACAAAATATACGCGAAATTTTTATTTAAGTGAAAACGTCTATATACTATTCGAGAATTAATAAATTAACCGAAAAGTTTATATGCGCTAAATACCGCGAGTCTATAAAATAAATCTTTAAAAAAACAGCAGACATTCAGCCAGCGTGTGCGATAAACGCGCCAAAATTGGCAGCGCGTTCACTCCCTCGCCAAGAGAGAAACGTTGGTGATTCAGCCTGGTTTAGAGGAGCCTTACATCAACGCTATCCGCGATTCCAGCGCTCTGATACGCCATCTAGTGGCTAAAAGGTGGAAACATTAAAGCTCGGTATTTACGTTTGACAATGCTACCTAGTTTGTGAAGCGTGTTGTGATCGAAAAGTAATTAAACGTTTTATTTTTTATTGTTGTGGGCATATGTATAACTTAAAAAGAAGTACAGACCACACGTTTTGTTGTGTACACTAGTCTAAATCACGAGCTTGCAAGGAACCTGAGTTATGCTTCTATCGCATTCTTGGTTCGAAAAATATCGAACGAGATAGCAAAACGAAGAGGGTGGATTCGCGTATTTCGAATTGGAAAGAAAGTTGGACATTATATGAACGTGCGTTCTAAGCATTTAAAAAAAAAAAAAAAAAAAAAAAAAAAAAAAAAAACTGATTACATTTTTTCTCGTAAGAAAAGTTTTCTTTCTCGTGTATCATACATATAAATGTGTATGTGTGTTCTTCGAAAGTAAACATGCATATTTGTGTATTGAAATATAAATCATTATAGCTCATTAATCTCTTAAATATTATTAATACACATACATATACAATTATGCTTTTATGCATATTTTACCTGCAGAAATTTAAATTGTGTTTCAGTTTATGTTAGCAATGATTTAAATGAAAATTTATAGAATGACACATATAAAAGTAAAAGTTAATTATTTTAACGTTAATGATGAACTTGAATTTCATATTCTAGTAATGTTGAAATTTCTGTGTGTGTGAGTCATTTCCTGTTAAACTATTTAGAACTGTTTACAGTGGTTCAGGATAGTTAGCATAAAAAATTTCCAGTTCAGAAAATAGTTTATGATGATCTAGTATGAGTAATAGTATAAAAAGTATTACAGATATCAAATCTTTTCCACTATAGAATAGCATGCACCAAACAAT